CAGTACTGTGAAAGGTGTAGAATGGCTCCAAACACAAAACAAAACAAACATAATGATTGTCAGACATTAAAGGAAAAGCTTTAGAGAAAGTATTAGGATACAATTACTTGGGATGTGAGCTAAATGAACAATGGGACCGCAGAATTGAAATAAAAAGATGCCTTGAGATAGCCAGAAGCGAAAACTGGGAATAGAAGTAATTTCTATTTCTCTCTATTCCTATTCTTTAATTATTAAAACTAGAGTATTGAGATGCTATATATTTTTTACAAATATTTCATTAATATATCTTATAAACAGTACAGCATATTGCCATGAGCAAGACCAAATGCAGTGCAAAGAAGTGTGTTGTCAAATGCACTAATATGCATGCCAATAGCGAAAAAAGAAATAAGACAAGCATTTAGAAACTCAGAAATTAAACAAATGGTAACTAAAGTAAATTATTGAAAATTATCATCTACATACTTTCAGCCACATCACTACTGACGCTTTTTTTAATATAGCATCTAATAGCTTTATGGACTTCTTGGGCTTGTTCCGGTGTAGCTGTTTGTCCCGTGCCGATTGCCCAAACTGGTTCATAAGCCAGTACTATATCGGCCCAATCGCCTTTGAATGTACTGGCTATAACACCGAATTGTCTCGTAACCACCTCCTCGGTTTTGCAGCGTTTGCGTTCATCCAAAGTTTCACCAATACACGCAATTACTTTTAAACCGCATTTATGAGCACAGTCGACCTACAAAAAAGATATCTATAAGAAATTATCTAGTTTGTTCTAACCTTACGTTTTTCTTCATATTGTTTTATCATAAAAATCCATACTATGCTTTTCCCAACTGAAATATTAAACTTGGTTTTCAATATTTTTATTTGATCCTATTGTTCTACTAGTTGTAGTTTGATTTAAGTCTAATTAGAAGTGGCAGGGGAGGATTGCGCCGATGGTACCTAAAATAGTCCTGTCTCGATAAAGAGTTCTTTAAGCTAGAGGCACGATTTCGTCAGCAGCAGATTTAATCTATACAGCACGATAATTATAAGGTACTTACTTACAGCTTTAATCTAATAGACCAAGGTGGATATGTAAAAATCGACTAAATCGACGCAATCATACTGAATTGCTGAACGTACCTCATATAAAATCAGCGCAATCGTCCCATTAGAAGTTGGTATTTTTTACCTTTTCAGCCACCAATTCATCGCTTTCCTTAAAAATAATTCTTCTTTCCGAGTGACCCAAAATCACCCATTTAACTCCAATGTCAATGAGCATTCGTGGTGCAATTTCCCCAGTAAATGGTCCCTTTTCTCCTTTGTAGCAGTTCTGGGCAGCAACGTGAATGTGAGCAGGGATATGACATTGTACAAAATCTATGAAAAATAAACAAAATTGATTAGAAACACACAACAAAAAATAACACAGATGTAAGTTCTTCTTTTCATGATTCAATTGAATAAAAAAATATTGATCTAAAGATGAAGAAGAAAATGAAGATATAAATATACACTGTATTCATCTGGATATGTTATTTTTTGATAAAAACGTAAAAAAATAAAAGGAACCTAAATAAACAGACGGAACTCCTACAATTACATCAGTACTACAATCGCGTGGACATTTATCCAAGAACTTCAAAATTTCCATTATTTCCTTTCTGTTTCCGTGCATTTTCCAGTTTCCTCCAACTATAAACTTCCTTGTGACAAAATTAGCTGATGCACTATAATATCTTCGTGAATTGATTCCAGGAAGCAACTTTAAAATTTGACAGAAAAATTTAATCATTGTGTAATTTGCACTAAAAATTTAATATTGAATATTCTTATATATTCAACAGTTTAAAGTATCACATATTTGGTATTTTGCTTCAAACGAGTCATTGTCAAAACTATGACAGGATTTGACTGTTAGGTAAAATAAAGTTTTGATATACGTCGTATTTTAAGTGTGAAACTAAGTCATTATAGTCAAAATGAAAAATTATTGAGTGTATTTGATAAAAATATAAATTATGTTTTGAATTTACGATGTTTTTAATGTATTTCTAGCGGAAAAATAAATAAATATTTTACCTATTGTTGGGAATTTATCTGTATTGAACAGACAACAATTGACGGATTTGTAGTTATCTGTTTTATTTGCGTAAAAACAAATCCGTCAATTGCTGTCTGTTCAATACAGATAAATTCCCAACAAGCTCAAATTCTATTCATCACACGCGATTGCTGAATCACACAATCTTACAAGGTCTACGAATATGGGTCCATTAGTTGCTGGACGAACCAAAATTGATCTATGTCCTGTGTGCCGCAAGCCATATCGTGAAGAACGGATGGTAGAATGTACAGAATGTAAAAAATGGTGCTGTTTTGAATGCGTAAATGTACAGGATGATTCCGAAGTAATTGGTGATGACAGCTGGAAGTGCCCTCTTTGTGTAGAAGCAACCACTAAGAAGTCTCACCCACAAAGTTCCAAAATCAAGAAATCTTGTTCTGCAACCTCCTTAAAAAGTTCCTCATCAACAAGCAGCAAAACAAAAATGAAGCTTCAACTTCTGCAGGAAGAACGAGATCTATTACGCCAAGAAAGAGAGTTAACCAAGGAGTCTAGGAGAATTATAGAAGAAGATGAGTGCTCGAATGATGGTCAGGACATCGATGAAGAGGAAATAATTGAAACTAACCCTTTGGTCAATAAATTCCTTTCTTTAAATATAGATATGCCCTTTATCGACAATGTTGCCCCTTTAACTCCAACACTTGGTAAGCCTCTGCCAACTTATAACGATGAAAGTTCAGGTATATTATATAAAAGAAGAGATCCTGGAGATCTCCCTATTTTTAATGGCAACCCACATGATTGGCCTGTTTTTATTAGTAGTTTTGAAAGATCTACTGAGCTATGTCAAGTAGATAATCATGAGAAAAAAAAAAGAGCTTGTTGGGAATTTATCTGTATTGATCAGACAGCAATTGACGGATTTGTAGTTATCTGTTTTATTTGCGTAAAAACAACTCAAATTCCTACAATATATAAAATTAACAATATAAAAAAAACTAATTAATTCCCATTACTTACTGTTCTCTTGCTGTCTGCTAAATTCTTAAATTATTTAATTTTTTCCCTGGGTGACAGTTTTTTTTGACGTTTTTTATATTATATTTGACATAATTTAGGGAACAGTAGCAACGGGAAATTTTATGTAACATGATAAAACTAAAATTGAACTAAATACATTTTATACAAATAATAAATATTCGTAACACCTATACATGTTATTTAATGGTCTCCCACAACTGGGAGACCATTTGTATGGACCAAGTATTTTGAAAGCTGAAATTATACACGCTATCAAACTATTAAAAAATAACAAAACTCCAGGTGCAAACTTCTGCAAGGACCACCGACTAATAAGCCTAATGAGTCACTTTTTAAAACCTTTCCTGAGAATACTTCACACTAGATTGTTTAAGAAATGTGAAGAGGTCAGTGGATGGAGTCAGTTTGGTTTCAAAAATGGACTTGGCACGAGAGAAGCGATCTTTAGTATGCAAACATTAATACAGAATTGTTTAGATCAAAGAAAGGATGTTTTTGTCTGTTTCATCGATTACGAGAAAGCATTCGATAATGTAAAACACGGATTGATAATAAAATACCTACAAGAGTTGGGATTGGATGCCAAGGATATAAGAATTATCGCCAATATGTATTGGAACCAGGCAGCAACAGTACGTCTTCAAAATTTCAACTAAACAGAAGATTTCTCCATTAAAAAAGGAGTAAGGCAAGGTTGTATACTGTCTCCAATGCTGTTCAATTTATACGTAGAAAAAGCCTTCGCAGAAGCAGTGGCAGACTCTAATAAGGGTATTAAAGTTAACGGCATATTTATTAATAACATCAGGTATCCCGATGATACAGCCATAGTGGCAGATAACATCGAAGATCTTCAATGCCTTTTAAATGATCTAACTCTTGCAAGTGAAGTTCGGGGTTTGAAAATAAATATCAAGAAGAGAAAAACAATGATTATAAGTAGAAATGATTACCGCAACGCAAAGATATATGTCTCTGGAGAAGAAATCGAACAGGTCAGGCAATTCAAATACTTGGGTTGTTTGCTGAACGAGGGTTGGGACCCCGAGAATGAAATAAAGAGCAGAGTTGAACAAGCCAGAAATGCTTTTTTGAGTCTTCGTAAGTTTCTGACTGATCGCAAATTGGACTTCAACCTCCGATACAAGATGCTTAAGTGTTACGTGTGGCCTGTTCTCCTGTAAGAAATGTAAGCATGTACGTTAAAGGCCAGTTCCATTAAAAAACTTGAAGTGTGTGAAATGTGGTGCCTGCGTCGAATGCTTAGAATATCATGGACGAACAAGGTCAGAAATGAAGAAGTACTCAGAAGAGCGGGCTTACAGGATAGGAAACTTTTTAGTTATGTAAAAAGAAAGAAGACTGCATACTTGGGGCACATATTACGACGAGAAAGATACACTTTTCAGCAACTGATAATCGAAGGGAAGATAGAGGGTAGGAGAGGTCTGGGACGTAAAAAAAATGTCATGGCTGCGCAATATTCGACAATGGACAGGAATCTACAGCTATGAAATGCTTCGCAATGCTACTAAAAGCAGAATTATTTAATCCTGAATATTTAACATCTCACCTGACAAGAGGATGTACGGTGGACGCCTATGCAGAAATGCACGGCACCTTAAGAAAAAGAAGAAGTTTTTAAACGACTTTAGTTTACTAAGCAAATTGCTACCGTTCGGCTAATAACCTTATTAGGTTAAAGTGAGTTTTTTTTGTAAATAAAAAAAAATGCTGACAACTTTCACAACATTAAGAACACTAAATTATACTACACAATACAACGCAGAGTATGACAAGGATATATGTTGTATCTCCCCTAAATTTTTAAACACAAGTTCTTCTTTTAACCTAATTTCAAGTTACTATTATCAATAAAACTTATTTTCAGATTGGTCTTATGCGTGGAGGCTACTTCTTGGCCGAGGAATCCCCAGAACGACTGATAAGACAATTCGGGGTGGACAGTTTGGAAGACGTCTTCCTGAAACTCAGCGTGATGCAAAACATGGGAAAACGAAGACGATCCAGTATAGCAAAAAGTGTCGTCGAAACAATAACGGTGCCTGAAATAGGCGGAGCCGTTAATCCTGCTGCTGTGCTGGACGATGACTTGGGAGAGATTTCTGGAGAGTTTGGGGACAGTGTTTCGATTACCAGTAGGACAGGAAGTAAGTTTTATGCATAATATTCATGTTTATTAATAATCTTCTTCTATTAATTATTTTCTTGTGATATTTCTTAATTTAAAAATACCAACCAAAGAACCACAACAGACTAAGGTATGGCAAAGCTAACAGAAGAGTTCCTGGCCCTTCAGGTTGGGGATTGGGCTAGTGGCTGAGAATCTCTTCGTGTAAAAAAACATATGAAATCTCAGGAACTATTCACTGGACGGGGGATTAACAAACAGACTGGAAGACCTAGATTACGCTGATGATATATGCCTCCTAGCACATACAAAACAGGACATGCAACTCCAAGTAAACAAAGTACAAGAAGAATCAAAGAAGGTTGGTCTAGAAATAAACATCAACAAAACCAAAGAAATGCGATTTGGTACCAGAAACAACCAACCTATTATGATTAACGACCAGAAAATTGAGAGAGTAGCGGAATTTGTATATCTGGGCAGCATAATTGACTGTAATGGGGGAACCAAAGCAACCAAGAAAATGTCATAAAGCAAATAAGGCGACGAAAATGGAGATGGCTGGGCCACACACTCCGTAGACCGCCAAATGACATTGCCAGGACAGCGCTGGATTTGAATCCCCAAGGCCGACGGAAAGTAGGCAGACCTAAGGGAACTTGGAGAAGGACAGTACTGGACGAATGGAGAAAATGGGAAAATCCTGGCTTGAAATCAAAGCACTAGCCAGGAATAGAGTTCGCTGGAGACACCTTGTGGAAGCCCTATGTTCCTCTTAGGAATCTTGGGACTATATATATATATATATATATATATATATATATATATATATATATATATATATTCAATATTCACTGGACGGAATTCATGACGACGACTCTGCAAACGAAAAATGGAATTAGGAACATTATATACCCGAACCCTGTACCGAACTCGAGCATTCTCATCTTTACTAGACATAGTGAACACGTACAAAGTAAAAGTAAAAAACGTTTTAGATGTTTTATCACTGCAGGAAATGCGGTGAACGGGAAATAGTATTCTTGATAAGAGAACCCATTCCATATATTATAGCTGCAATGACAACCAACACATAGATGGGGTGAAATTTATAGTAAACTAAAAACAAGAGGCCTTATTATTGACTTTAGAGCCTACAGGCAAAGAATATGCTATTTGCGCTTAAAAGGAAAATTTCTTCTATTACAGTTTTATCCATGCACCCTAACTGATGACAAACCAGAGAAAATAAAACAACAGTTTTTTGAAGACCTAGAGCAAGCCTACAGAAGATGTCCCAGAAATGACATTGAGATTGTATTAGGTGACATGAATGTAAGATTAGGACGAGAGCGAGTTTTCATGCCCACTTTTTATGACTCTAACAAAATATATTGAAAACATATTTAGGATGTTTCGAAAGAAAAATACTAAGACGAATCTATGGAGCAGTGAATGACGATGGAGTGTGGAAAATACGATACAGCTTCGAACTTTATAGAATATACCAGGAACCTGATATCATAAAATATATTCATAAATATCATAAAAGATAGGACGTCTGAGGTGGATAGGGCATGTAATGCGGATGAAACAAAATGACCCAGCTAGGAAAACGCTCCTTGATAGACCTATTGGTCAGAGAACAGGAAGACCCAGAACAAGGTACCTTGATAACATCGATGAAGACATAATACATGCTTGGCGCAGGAAGGCGAATAATAGGAACGACTGGAGAGAAATTCTTGGATACTAGGACCCAAACAGGATTGTAAAGCCAGAATGATAATGATTTCTGAATTTTCTTCTCATTCTCTACTCGTTTATTTTTTTCTACTTATATTTTTTTATGTACTTACAGGAAGAGTTTCTATTGCACCTGAACCCACATCAGACAGCAATATTCCAGAACTACCACCAGACGAGGAACCGGAAGTATCCTTTAAAGACTACTTTAAATTTATCAAATTGCATCACATGCGCGCCTTGATGTGGAAAAATTTCTTGTGGATGTGGAGAAATATTCCCATGATGCTGTTCATTATCGGTTTACCAATAGGTAAATGACACTTACTTTTCCTATTTTTATGTCATGGTTGCGTAAATACTAAACTTTTTTGTTGCAGGTCAGACCATTTTGTTTTGTTTGACTATCGGACATGACCCTATGGGAATAAAAGTATCGGTAGTCAACAATGAGATCAATTTCCCGGAGGAGACTTGTCATCAGCGACCTTTAAATTGTAATACTACAAAAATAAGTTGTAATTATTTGGACGAAGTGGCTAAGGCTTATTCTATAACGTGGGTAAGTTATTATTCAGTATACCATATGGATTCAGTGTTATTAATGTAGTATATAATATAGTAGGTATTGGAAAACTATAGATAAGTTGAGCGTTAAGTATGAATTTTAAATGGCAATGCATTTCTTCCTAGATTTTGGTTAGCTTATTAGTTTTATAGAGTTATATATCTTATCTACAAAGTAAACGACCAAGTTCAATTAAAGATCATTCAGTACATGTACCTACCAGTAGGCACATGCACGACGAAGTTGAATGGTTCTACTATAACTTTAATACTACGATACAAGAGATAACCTCCAACTATACTATACTGATGGAAAACTTAAACGCCAATATAGACCACAAGCAGGATGATTGTGTATTATACTCTGTTTTTTAACCAGGAGGAGTAAACCAAAAAGACAGATTCACACTCAAGAAAGTTACTAGAAAAGTCACCAAATACATCTTCTTTTTTTGTTGATAATCTCGGCCTTGCGGTAATTGAGTAATCAATATTGGACAACCTCACACGGCAATTTTAACCTAACTTTGTTTATTTATGTTTGAATAATAATTTTTTTCAATTCACTTCCAATATATATTACAATAAAAAAAGGACGTTTTGCACATTTGGTCCCATGTATATATATATATATATATATATATATATATATATATATATATATATATATATATATAAATATATATATATATATATATATATATATATATATATATATATATATATATTTAAATATCGAGTGATTCAGTTTTATAGATCTCTTAAGTCTATGGTATTTAATTATAATTTAGAGAATATTTTGATCGGGAGAGTCAATAATGTTACAGATCTAAGTATGGTTTTTCTCAGAAATTTGTCTTTTAATAGTAGACCATATTCTTATCCTGGTATGATCAATTTCTTGAATCTAGTTTTTTTTTCTTACCAGATACTTTGTATAAATAAGCGTGTACTTACAATTTCTTTAATGCTGGATTCTTGTTTAATTTTCATAGTGAGTTTGTCCCATTTGTAATCAACAAATAAAATTTACTAAAATACTGGATTTCTGTGAGATAATCAACAAATCCAATCTCTTATGTTACATTCTTGCATAATTTTGCAATTTTCTTGTGATGATCTACAACCAGGAAGAACAAAACCAACTGTATCATACAATCAAACTAAAACACAATATTACTTTACTAATGTTCTTTTATTGTGATGAAAACAAAATGTAAATGCTTCTTAACAAGTATACACTAAATTTAAAAGATAGTTGCCGTTTTTCTTATGATAATTAGATATAAATAACATACATTTATAAATTTATAAACACTTTAAACTATATTTAGTATAAATCTAGAAAAATATCACATTAAATACTATTCGCATATCACCAAGTCCAAGTTATTACAAAAAACAAAGAGTCAGAAAGCGATTTATGTATTAGAGGAAAATGATAATAATAAATAAATTTCACAAATGTCATTAGTGTCAATTTGTCATAATTTAGTGGAGTAAACTTGCCTGCGGTTGGACCAATTGCAAACAAGCATTACGGCGCGGAAAATTTGAATTACTCCTCCTAGTTAAAAAACAGACCATAGTACTCAAAAATTTTATTAGCAAATAGGTACATATTAATAAAAAAACATGATGACGCATTTTATCATCAATAATTGTTCTGATGATGACTATATTAACTTTTCCCACCTAAGAGCTGAATGTAAACAACTGTCTGAAATTTGCTTCAGCAACTATATTAAATCTGCAATAAACCGTCAAGACTTATGTAATTTATTTATGAACTTCTTTAAAACTGTGTATTCACCAAATACAACAACCAGCTTACTGCTGGTCCAGATGGAGTGCCTAATTTTTTATTAAAAAAATGTGTCTGTACCCTTGTAATGCCATTTGTTATATTGTTTAATAGATCCTTGGAAACCTCTTTTCCTTCCTTTTTCATGAAAGAAAGTTATGTTGTTCCTATATGTAAAAATGACCAGAAAGACATAATTGAAAATTATCGTAGCATTTGTATACAATCTGCAATCCCTAAGTTCTTCGACTGTCTTATAGCAAAGCAACTTTGTCGGTTATGTAAAGGTTTAATATCTCAATCAGAACATGGTTTAATAGCAAAAAATCCACTGCAACAAACTTGGTTTGCTATCAAACTGATATATTATCACGACCGTAAACATGTAGATACAATATACACAGATTTTTTCAAAGTATTTGATCATGTACATCACTAAATACTTTTAATTAGTATTAAAAGTATTTAGTGATGTACATGATCAAATACTTTGGAAAAATCTGTGTATATTGTATCTACATGTTTACGGTCATTTAACTAATATAACATACGGCAAATTAACTAATGTAGGTTTTCATGCCAGGTTTGTTGAATGGATTAAAAACTCTACATCTGGTAGAAGTTAAAGAGTCAAGATAGGTTGTCGTCTGTCTGATAGTATATCAGTAACATCTGGAGTTCCTCAAGGAGGCCACACTTCTCCGCTTCTTTTTAATATCTTCGACATCTTCAACTTCCTGTTTTCTAAATAGCAAATGTCTAATATTGGCAGATGACATGAACATTTGGAAAGTAATAGATAGCTTAAGAGATCAAGCCTTGTTACAAGATGACTTAGACCGACTACAAAATTGGTGCAATCAGAACAGACTTCACTTATATAAAAAAATGTATTATAGGTTTTTCTCGGAAAGTCAATAGAACTAGAACAAGCTATAGCTATACTATTATTAATCAGCCATGTTTCTTCTATTCTGAATTTGGGTGTTATTTTCGATGAGAAGCTTACTTTCTGTGACTACATAAACTCTATTTCAATTAAGGCGTCTAAACTTCTTGGTTTCGTTACTATGATTTGCAAGTATTTCTCCATTGATTATACAAGATTAGTGAATTGTTGCTTAGTTAGAACTATTTTGAAATTCTGTTCAGTTATTTGGTCACCATATTCTTAGGAAATATTGATACCATAGAAAGAGTCCAGCATAAATTTTTAAGATATTGTACTTACCATATCAGGAGCTATATTTATATAAAGATCATACATGGATTTTCTGATTGGTCAAACCTGTTAAGCCAGATTAACTTCAATGTTCCTTATCATGCTCTAAGTTACCACAATGTTTTCAATATACTTTTCCACAGAACAACCTATGGTATTCACAACCCATTGAATAGATACATGGGGCTATTAAATGATCGCGATTTTGATATTTTCAATATAACTTTATCTCATTTAAAAAGATCTTTTGCTTTGTGATATGTATATTGGGATTGTTGAATTTTAAACAGACTGGGATCTAAGCTAGATTTTCACCAACTACTAGAGCAAGCCGGATTTAGGAGTGGCGTTGGAACGAATAATCACCTGCAAGTAATAAAGTTCATGTTGAAAAAAGTTACAGAATACAACAAGCCTAATATTTCTAGACTTTAAGAAAGCATTTGACTCAGTCCAGCATTGCTCCATATTAAGAGCTCTTACAAATTGCAGTATTGATCATAGTTACATAACTCTTTTTCTGAATATATATACATAATAGTGCAACAGCTGCAGTGGAAATGTACTATGGCGACACAAAAACGAGTACTATGAAAAACAATAATTGAGAAAATATGGGAGTCAACATAAATAAGGAATTTCTGAACAACTTGAGGTTTGCAGCCAACACTGTCAACTTCTTCAAAACCTTCAGAGCTCTTGTACAGGTTATCCCAAATTGCTTTTCAAATATTTTAATGCATTTTCCATTTCTTTCGTACTTCGTTTTTATAACTTAAACATCTCGATGCTATGTGATTTTTTTGTAGGAATTTATGAAAACGGAGGAAGAAGCAAGACATAGAGTGGAACGAGGAAAATCCTGGGGTGTGGTGGTCGTTCCACACAATTTCACTGATGCGCTTTGGAGCAGAATTGAAAATTCGAGAGATACACCTCCAGAAGACATAATGGCTTCTACTATCAGCGTCTATGAAGATAAATCAAGTAAGTTAGTAGTATTTGAATAATTCAGTCCTTTCTAAAATATTTACTTTGTATTTTAGATGAAAACATAGCAACGTTTCTTACAAGGGATATGCTGTATGGATTCCTCACCTTTATATCTGAATTTGTGAAAAGTTGTGGATATAATGAAAAAAGTGTTGGAATTCCTATTCGAGTAAGTAGCAGCCCACTGATTAATCTTTACCTAGAAACAATAAACTGCAACGTATTTGACTAGAGCGCAATTTGCACTTTTCGATAGTTTCATAAAAACAAAATAACAAAAAAATTGTTGAATTTGTAATCAAGTTCAAAATAGTCTTCTTCGACGTCAATGCATAATTCCAAGCGATCTTCAAAAGCGACTTACACTAGTTAATACATTTCTGCTTAATCACATACTCTCTTATTTATATCTTCTTTAGTTACAGTTGGTGTCTTATCTTCTTCTTCAAGTGCCCTCTCCGCTACGGAGTTTGGCAATCATCATTGTTATTCGTATCTTTGAAGCTGTTGCTCTTAATAATTGGTTAGATGTGCAATGGAATCAGTCTCTTAAATTGGGCAGCCAAGATATACGTCGTCTCTCCACGTTTCATTTGCGGTGAATCTTTCCTTGGATAATTAACCCAATGTCTTATACGCCTTATATTTTATTTAGCCACAGCAAATAAAATCTAGCTTGCTTAACACTAGAGATCATGTAGGCACTTATTTGCTCCTTTCCGTCCATATCACGTATGTTTAAGGTATTACTTATATATAATTCCGGCAATTCGTTGTCCAAAAAATGTATAAGCATTTTTCCAGAAACATTACGTGATCCTCGAAAAAGAAGTCCTATGACATAATTTTCAGGAATTCCAGCCCAAACATTTAATGACCTTGTTGTTTAACTGTGGCTCAAAATGACTTGTAAGGCAAACCCTTCTTGCCTTATAGCGTGATCGGCCAACTTTGTTTTGCATCTGCAAGCCAGGTCACGCTGAAATTGTTTGCAATTAGGCAAACTGAGGTATTTGTTATAGTTGTGTGTATTCGATATACTTGACCTATTGTGTACGTCTCCGATTGTTGATTAAAACAATTCCAGTTACAGAATAATGCAATGTAAAATATGACTAACATTATTTATGAGTTTTAATATATTGGGAATAATATAACAGTAAAGATATTTTAGAGACTCATCTGCTGTTCCATGAATAACATTCAAATGAATTAAACGTATTTTTATCTAAAAATCTTGTTTTTCAGTACAATCAACCTATTTATGGATACCAAGACCCAGATTTTACAGATTTTGCAGCACCTGGAGTAGTCTTGACGTAAGTATTTACTTTGCAAGCACATTAAACAAAAAACTAACCAATAAAATTGTTAAATTCTGTATGTATTTATGTTTGGAACAAATGATCACCTACAGAGCATTAAAACGGCAATAGAAAAGACTAACGAATATACAGCCTGTGGAAAACTCAAAGACATCTTTAAAAGCGATATACCAATTTCTTGAAAACGTAAAACATTTGACCAATGTGTGTTGCTTGTGATGACCTATGGTGCCGAAACTGTGAAATTGACAGCTATAGCTTCTAAAACGCTGCAAATAGCTCAGAGGAAAATGGAAAGGTCAGTGCTGAATATACCGCTTCGTGACCGAGTTAGAAATGAAGACTTAAGGATTCAAGACTGAAATTGTAGCATTTTAAATTTGATTGATTCTTTGAAGTATATTTAAAGTCGCCTCGTATATGAAATCGTCTTAATAAAACGAAGAATGTTTTCTGTTTTTTAGTTCGTATCTTTCGAAAAGTGTTTTCAATCATTCTAACGTCGTAGAGTAATAAATCCATTTAATTGTTGTTTATCTTACTGCGGCGATTTCTTTTCATGTAAATGCGTCGCAAAGGAAACTACGTCGCATTCTTATAAGTGTTTGTTAAGATTTGCGTCCAATTTTTGCGGAGAAAATCTCTGCTTTACTCTCGTTTGGACCGCGTTCCAAGGCGGTTCAGCGTTATGTCCAAATTTTTCGTCGAATTTGTAAAGTGTTCTGTTTTCTTTTCTTTTCATGAAGAATTTGTAATGTCCTTTTGTTCTTCGTTATGGAAAATAATTTAAGTAGCAGTTAAATGTGGCAATTTAAGGTATAATTATAGTCCAATTCTACCTGTCCCTGTTTTTTTAAGAGGCAGAGCCATAAGTTTTGTTCAGTGCCGGCTTTGGCCTCAAATGGTCGATCCAATTCACAGTGGAGATGATTTTGTTCGTGTGTTCGTGTCCAGAGAACCCCAGTTATGGTTTCAAAAACTTAATGTGTGATCAAGTGAAATCCAGGTAACTTTTTAGGTGTTTGTTTAATTTTAAAGTGAAGACAAACATTTTTTTAAAATAATAATTGCTTTCGTTTTTTTTTAATAGTAAATTTTTGGTTTTGAGTTGAGCTGTCAATTTGTGTTTAGTTTTTAAAAGGTTAACCTCCATGCAATTTTTTAAGTTTTGTAGCAATGGAGTTTATTAATGGATGACACATGTAAGTTTTGATATTTGTGTATTTTGTGACTGTTGTAATATTTTTGTATTTCTCCTTATAACTGTTTGTGGTGACATAAATAAAGGTTAAATTTTGTTGTCTTAACTTTTTATTTATTTTTTTGAGCTAAACCTTTATTGATTTTTATTTGAAAAAGATATGTTTTTTTATGTTGATTTTTTTTTCTAATTATTTCCCTAGTTACAACGAGTGGGTTGTAATAGGCATAATTAGGCACCTCAAGTGGCGCCCTATAATCAAATTTCTTGAGGTGTTTTCTGTTTAATTTTATTTTGTTTATCCCAAAAGCCCTTTATTTCTTTTTGTTGTAGTTGCCCCATTCTAACCCCAATTTTACTTATCCACGACCCCAGCTCTCCTACGAAACCCTGAGTGTCCGTTCGCACAAGTAACGTATATTTTGCTTGCCCTATCTTCACCCCCAATAGTTTCTCCCCCAATTTTCTGCCCTTTATATTAATGCCCCTGTGGTAGGCAAAATAATGTCGTTACAAAATGAAATCGTAGGCTTCCACGACCAGAGTCAGAATTATAGTGGATTCACTCCCCGCCTCTCGACGCGTTAGTGTTCTGAGCTGTTGGACGTGAATCCCTGTCCTGGCATTTGGTTTTCACCTCTGGCTGCGTTGAGTAGTTGAGTTACTGTGACCAAATGCCCATCTTGGTAGTTAGTATTCGCCTCTGGTTGCGTTGAGTAACTGAGTTACCGTTGCTAACTACCCATCTTCCTGTCTTCTTTTTCTTTTTCTTTGTTCTCCTGAAGAAGCTACATACAATTGTAGCGAAACGTCGAGATGAACCCACTTTTGGGTCACTCACAAATGACACGGTCCAAACCCGGAAGACGAATAAACTATGATTCAAGACTGATTCTGGCGCCAGACACGTCGCCAGAATCAGTCTTGAAAGGGGGACGAAGAGATTGCTTGAGTGGAGGTCGAGGTTAGACAAAAGTAGAAGAGGAAGACCTCCTACTCGTTGGACTGACGATCTCAAGAAAATGTCAAGAAATTGGATGAAAAATGCTCAAAATAAAGCACAATGGACAAAAATGAGGAAAGTCTATGTCCAGCAGTGGGCGCAAAGGACTGGGTGATGATAATGATGATACATATATAATGTGTGGAATTAACTTTTAAGTTTGTTTATCAGTTCATTATTTATTATCATAAAGCAGCAAATTGTGAAGAACAATCACCTTTGAAACAAAAATTTATATTTCTCGTTTTCTAAGAATTTCTTCATCTTATTTCAGTATCATATTCTTCATGGCTGTTGCCCTCACGTCCGGTTCAATGATCATGGAAAGGAACGAAGGAATCTTGGAAAGATCTTTGGTCAACGGCATCAGTGGAACGGAGCTATTGTTTTCGCAAATTATCACGCAGTTCGTCGTCATGTTGGGACAGTCCATCATGGTACTTCTCGTCACTTTTATTCTCTTCAGTTTAACGCAACGAGGAGATTGGACGACAGTGACTACCTTGACTGTAATGGCCGGTATATGCGGAATGTGTTTTGGTAAGTAGGTTTTTTCTATGTACTGCATAAACTTATGCGTCTATTAACTCAATACTTAAAAAATATATTAACCTTTCAGTAGACGCAGTTTAATTTTTTGTACGTCTACTACACTGGCCATAAAATTAGTCCTCTGGATGCTTTGTGTTTAAATTTTAATAAAATAATCTATTGTTTGTAGTTTTTTAACAATATTTATTATTATTGACATATTTTGTTTATTTAAAATGTTTATTTACGTAGCACAAAAAATAGTCCACAATTTTTGTAATAGATTCTCGTTTTAACTAAACAAATTACAATTAATTTGATATAAGGTTGAGTGCTCGAATAAATAAACTTTGATAATATACAAGGCAAATATCGAGCACAGTTTTATTAATTAAATCTTGCCCAAGTACTTTCGCTTCCTAGAGCATCTTCAAGGGAATCTGAAATAAGCCAAGAAACGTTTTTTTAAATGAAGAAATTGATTAACTTCGATAAAAAACTCGAAGTTAATGGATGATAAAAGTTTTTTTGTGATTAACGTTTTAGACTTACTTCGTCAAATTTTGGGCTGTCCAACAATTGCAAAATGTCATAAACTTAAAATTAAACATAAAATTGAACATAACACTACACTAAGCAAGGACAAACAGTTTAAAAATATTTAAAAAATAGTGAAAGCTATATTCTGGTCGGCAACAGAAGAGAAATTCTCTCTATATTCTTGTATATTCAGGCTACTGACGGATCCTGCCCTCTAAATTTATATTATTGTCAAAACTTAAGAGACATTACAGTTCTTGATGAGCTGTACAGAGCTGGAGAAACTCGAAAGCTTCCGTTTAGGGTTGAATCGATACCACTCGGCAATCGATACCAACTACTCAGCAGTGGGACTCTGTGCCATGTAGTATTCTACATATAGAGAAGATTCTACAACGTTGGCACTCCGTACATCCGCATTGTCGCATGAATGCTATTATTTTGGTCGTTTCGTTTCTATCTCCAGAGACCTATCGAATTCTATATAGCGCAAGCGTATTATATCCTAAAAGCAAATTGACAGTAAATGTATTTATTTTTATTTTGGAGATTAAGGTTATGTGTACATTCTAACTGTTTTTGGTTTTTACGTAAGAGTTTATTTTATTTTGCTGAGATCGTGGAAATAGTGTAGGCATGTTACCTATTAATATAATAAACATACTAGCAGGGGAAAATGAGGAGCGGTTAGAGCAAATTCGTATCGAAGCGTTAACAAGGCGCCAAATGCGAGATGAAAGCAATCCTTTCGCTATAGAAGATATTCGATTTAAAGAACTCTAGGTTGAATAAGGAGATGGCACAATATGTTTATAATCAAATTGCACCCAATATGGTACACACAAATAATTCAGTAGCCATTCCTCCTCTGCTGAAATTCTTTAGATCTCCACCCCCTATGATTTTTTCGTCATATCCTAAACTGTTTAATTTTGTGGTAACAGTTTGCCACACAGCTATTCCTTTAGCTCGTCCCTCACTTCCATTAAATTTATTTGTTATTAATTTTGGATATTCTTCGCAAAATGAAAGCAACATTTCCCAATGTTCCATTCGGGCCCTCATTTTTATCCAAAAATATAACGAAGACTAAGCTCTTTAAAAATGACTTTAAATAACAAAAACAAACAGCAGCATGCAAATGACCCGCGTAATAAACCGAAACCGAAAAAGTCAACCCAAACAATTAAAAACCCCAAAAATAGTACTTTCTTTCTCTAAAATGTGTTACAAACAAAGATAATAGACAATAAATACGATATTTGAGTAAAACCAACAGGTTAATGTTTTTACATTCAATAATAGAGAGATCGGAAAATACCGAAGCGAAACGACATACGCACGGAGTGCCAATACACGTTACTATCGCCGTTGTAGATAGAAAACGACAATAGAATTCTACGATAGAATTCTATGTGGCACGGAGTCCCGCTGCAGGTCGGTATCGAATCAAAGTATCGATACCTCATTCGATACCAGGTTCTGGTATCGATACTTTTGAGTACTCGTTACCCATATATGACGTAACGTAACATAACCACTTGTATGACGTAACAGCACTCACAAGTATCATCATCATCATCATCATCCAGCCTCTATTTATCACGTCCACTGCTGGACATAGGCCTCCCTTAAACTCCTCCATTCCTCACGATTTTGTGCTCTTTGTTGCCAATTTTTAGTGATACGCCTGATGTCGTCGGCCCAGCGTGTAGGTGGTCTTCCTCTACTGCGTTTGTCTGCTCTTGGCCTCCAATTTGTAATTTTGCTCGTCCATCGTGAATCGTGCATTCTCGCTACATGGCCTGCCCAGTTCCATTTTAGTTCCGCTATGCGTTCCACAACATCAGTAATACTCGTCCTTCTTCGCAGATCTTCGTTTCTTATTCGGTCCCTCAACGTCACTCCCAGCATAGACCGTTCCATTCGTCTCTGTGCCACTCTCAGTTTCGAAGCCGTGGTCTTGGTTAAAGTCATAGTTTCCGCCCCATAGGTCATGACCGGTAATACGCATTGGTCAAACACTTTTCTTTTGAGGCTGATTGGTATGTTGGCCCTAAGTGTGTCTCGCAGTTTTCCAAAGGCTGCCCATGTTAAAGTAATTCGTCTTTGGATCTCACATGTTTGGTTATCCCTGCTGATTCTTATTTCATGACCCAAATACGTCTCCACCAGTTCTACCACTTTGTCTTGAATAGTCAAATGGTTATTGGGGACCAAATTTGTCATAAACTTAGTTTTGGTCAAGTTCATTCTCAGGCCCACCTTCGAACATGCAAAATCCAATTCGTTTATCATATCTGTAGCTTCTCCTAAATTATCTGTGTTAAGGACAATGTCATCTGCGAAACGGAGATGCTTTTCGCCGTCTATCGTTACTCCTCTGTGGTCCCAATTGATCATCTTAAAGGCATATTCTAATGCCGTTATGAATAATTTCGGCGACAATGTATCTCCTTGCCTTATTCCACGATTTATTTTTATTGGTCGGGTTTTATTGTCTATTTTAACAGTCATAGTGGCATTTTTGTAAATATTATAAATAAGCTCACTATACCTATGGTCAATCCTGCTGTCATTCATTGCTTCTATAAGGCTGTCTAATTCGAACGTGTCGAACGCTTTATGAAAATCTATGAAAGTGAGAACAAGAGGTTTGTTATATTCTATAGATTTTTCAATGAGTGTTTTTACTGTGTGGAGGTGATCATTGGTACCATAATTTGAGCGGAATCCTGCCTGCTCTCTCGGTTGGTAGAAATCTAATTTTTTCTCCAATCTTGATGTCACTACCCTAGCTTGTATATGTGGTTCAACAGGCTAATAGGTCTATAATTTTCTAGGTCCGTTCTATCTCCTTTTATAGAACGGACCTAGAAAATTATAGACCTATTAGCCTGTTGAACCACATATACAAGCTCTTCACTAGGGTAGTGACATCAAGTATAGGATAGGTAAAACCTATCCTATACTTGATGTCACTACCCATAGGTAAAACCTATCCTATACTTGATGTCACTACCCATAGGTTTTACCTATCCTATACTTGATGTCACTACCCATACCTATAAGGTTCTTTTACCTATCCTACTCACAAGTATAGGATAGGTAAAAGAACAGAGTGACATGACAGTAACAGAAGACGTAAAAATAAACAATGAAATTTGTGGAATTAGAATCAACTTTATTTTAATTATACATAATGATCAATAAACAATGAAATTTGTGGAATGAGAATCAACTTTATTCTAATTATACATAATGATGATAGTAACAGTATATAAAAGATCAAATGAAGGAACATAATTTTATTAACAAAACAATATACAAACTACAAGTCTACATAAATGGAAAAATAAGGTTTATTCTTACAAATTGTCTATTGCCTAATCTCACACACCATGCTTCTACATCAAAACAATCAAATATTTTTTAAATTTACACCATAGATAAATAATATAATAGTAGAAATAGATAGGCAACTCAATGTATAAATTTCGTTCATTAGGCCCCTTGCGGCTGGGGTCAATACTAATCATCTTTTGACGGCAAATTCGAATGAAGACCCCTTACATACATACCCTTTAGCGTCTCTTGTGGGCTATTTCGTTACTAATTAAAATTTATTGGAAAATAAGGATATAAGATGCACAATTTTTTCTAGATATACGTATATTTATTTGTTGTTTAAGATAAAACAGTTATAAAATAATTACATAATATTTATTACACATATTTGCAGAAGTTAAATACTATTATTTTTTGCTTTCTGACAACTTACTATCATTCTTTTTGTAATTTTTCCATGATTTGTACACAACGAACAATACAATAATTCACCATGTTTAGTTTTGTTACTAGCACAACACAAAAATTCTTTGCTACAATAGGTAACTCAAAATAAACTTTAAAAATTAAGTAAAAAAATTTAAATTAAAATTACTAAGAATAAATGCAAACGAAAGTTAAAGAGAATAAAATAAAATTGAAAACTTGTAAACAAACGGAAGATCTGTCATTAATTTGGATTGACAGAATTGACCGTTTGATTATTTTATTTGGTTTATGATTGGTTAAAGTCTTCGTGAGAGAGATAGGCTGCCATTTCTCTTTATTAACTCTCTGGGGTCAAAGTGATGGGGGAATGAACCAAGTCATTCATTTAAGATTCCAGGCCATGAATTTACACTTTACAATACACTATGTAAACTGACAATGACTATTGACAGTTGACAATGATAGAATGAATGAAAAATGAAACTATAGGTTTGTTCGTAGAACGATCAGCAACCGTTGCCAACCATCAGACGCACGCGCAGTTAACAGTTAGCGTTCGTAGAAGCACTTCTGACGGTTGTCAAAGTGATTAATCAGAATTCGGTTTCCAACGGTTGTTAAAATCCCCAACGATTGTGCGGACTAAAGGTCAATTCAGACACATCAGTCACGTCACAGTCACGGTACCGAACCGGTCCTGTTTGGTCACAGAACTATCAACTATCTGACAGCTGGCAAACTGTTCGTCAACTGATGAGTGTGAATGCCGGCGCCATATTTGTATTAAAGAATATTTTGTATGACGGATTGTTCGATTCGGCGCAATCACTGTGACGAGATGGTGACGAGACGTGACTGATGTGTCTGAATCGACCTTAAAAATCAGCGACATGCGCAGAGGTGTTGTTGTATAAATCTATTTTATAACCACAAAACAAACGTTGGGTTGTTATAACAACTATATAGGTATAACTAAAAAATAAAATATACTAAGAAAACTATAATCAAACTAATAAAATCAAATAAACGACTAATAATATTAAACAATAAATGCAAAAAAGTGAATAATCAGATTTAACAAACTAATTAGATCGAATTCTAAAGGCCGTATGACACTATGCATTTTCTTGTATCATTTCTTATATCGTTTCTGATATAACAAAAAAATGGATAGTGTCATACAAGCGTATAGTTTCTTATATCAGAAACGATACAAGAATTTGTGTCCGCTGCATTTTCTTGTACAAGAAATGCGCCAATTTGTGCGCAAAAACGTAAAACTTCGGTCATATTGGGCTGGAGGAGAACTTTAATATACGATTAAACCAAGCAGACATCAGAGAAAAGTGTCCACCAACAGTAACCAAGTTTAGAACATCAGTACCCAAATTGGAAAATAATAAATCACAGGGATTGGATCAGATAGCATCGGAACTACTGAAAGTAGGAGGAGATGTTTTACTAAAAACAATACATAACCGCTCTAAAAATTAGTGATGAGTTTAAAGATTATTTTATATTTCCAAATAAGAGAGTAGAATTTCAAGAGCATGCCATTCAAACACATAATTAAAACAAAAACAAATAAATTATTACAACCAAATTATTATTTCTGTCTTCCACTACAGCCTGTTGAATATCTTCAAAAATTGTGGTTTCCAATTTAGTTTTAATATTGGGACATTTTATTTCTTTAATTTTTGCACCACAGTATTTTAAAAAAAATAATCAGTAGCATATGTCCTCAGTCCCCAATAGTTTGGAGTCCTCGGGTACTGCAGTTCTATTTTTATAGGTGTCAAAATTTCGACCAATCGTGTGCCAAATCATATACAATTTTAAAGACCTTGCATAGTGTCATACAGGGCAAAAATGTACGTGCAAGAAACGATACAAGAAAACATAAATAACTTTCTATATCAGAAACGATATAAGAAATGATACAAGAAAATGCATAGTGTCATACGGCCTTAAGAAATAAGAAAAGGAGATTTCGACTTTTGAGATTTGACAAACGACAATGACAAATGCAAAATATCAAATTTTAGGTGTTCGTAGAGGACAAAATCACAAACTAATTCCAAACAGTTTCCAACTGAACATGCGCACTGTATTTCAAATCACAAACCGTTTGTAATCGCTACTACGAACAAACCTTATGTTGTTTCGATACTAGTATTTTCATTCGATACTAGTACTCGGTATCGAATACGGTTTCATTCGATACCAAGTACACAGGTACATCGAATGAAGGTATCGATACCATATGAGTATTTAGTAGTATCGAATCATCCGTTCCGTTTGGCTTTAGAATTTCCCGTCATTAACTCCCACTGGTCTCCTAGATAAGCTGAAGATACGTCTACTGAAAAGTTAAATGTTCAAAAATTCTACTTATTCTTCACATTGTTTATATATTTTTTTTAGGTTTCGTGGTGGCTTGCAGTTGTGAAAATGAAAGATCTGCTACTTACCTAGCCATGGGGAGTTTCTTACCGATCGTAATGTTGTGTGGCATCATTTGGCCCATAGAAGCCATGCATAGGTACATATCGTGGATGTCAGTGGTGCTTCCTTTGACCCAAGCCACAGAGAGTTTAAGATGTATACTAGCGAGAGGTTGGACCATCACTAATCCCACAGTTTACAACGGTTTCATATCGTTGACCATATGGATCTTTATATTTTTGACGATCAGTATTTTATTGCTTAAATTCAAGAAGGGTTAAAGGGCGACTTTTTCATTAGGAGCGTTTAATTTTGTACTTAATTTTCTTCTAGTTGGTAGATAAGTTATTTAATTTTTTAAATGTTAATAAATAATTTAGTTGAAAAATGCTTTTTATTTATCTATTAGTTGTCCATTTAAGTAAACATTTCATAATGCTTAATATTTGTGTTCCATTTACCTACAATCTGTTCACAATTTGTCAATAGTTCACTACAAGTTTAACCCTAATTAGAGAACTGAAATACAGAGAGGATAGGTAATACGATATAATAGTAAAAAACCAACCTGAAACTGACAGTTTAAGATGTTTTCGACTAACCCACCTTGTATCTGAAGAAATACAATACAGCAATCAACCTTATAATCCGATTACGAAGGTATTTTGGTTACAGATGACCGACCAGTGTCGTGGAGTATATGATTGAAACATTTATTTGAACTAAATAAATATGTATATTTTTTAAATTGTACTTATGTAAATTGTATTTTTGTTTTAATAAAACTTCTTTATTTTATTCAAAAATAAAAAGTTTCCTGCCATTTGTAAAAGATACATTTATTTAATTAATGGGAAAGGCGCCAAATGTCGCCTAGTAAAATTTTCAATTTGTTTTAAATGTATACATTATTTTCTAATCCGGAAAAAACTAATAAATATTTTTGAAACATTTAAACGCAGAATGAAAGATTACATTATTACTGAGGGCAGAAAGTCCCTGAAAACTTCTACAATGTTTATTTTAATGTGTTATGTAATAGGGGTGAAAATGAAAGAGAAAATATAATATAATTTTTAATTGAAAATATTGCATGCAAAAGAAACTTTTTATTTATTCTAATAAATATTTCATTCTGCCTTTAAATTTTTCAAAAATGCTTTTTAGTTTTCTCAGGATTTGAAAAAAAAAATGGTTACACTTAAAACACATTGAACATTTTCACATGCGCCATCAATACAGTTGAAATAGTTTCCAAAAAACACTCGGTGGTGTTTATTTGCTAAAACTTCTGTTAGATCCTGTAAGACTCGTCCTAAGTTTTTTCGGTGGAATTTCCCACCTTACAAAAAGACAAAGACAAAAAGAAGACCGATGGGACAAAATTCATATAAGTTGGAGACCGTGGGAATATAAACGAAGCAGAGGAAGGCCCCAAATGAGATGGGCAGATGATATCAAGAAGCACGTGGGCTCTAGGTGGATGACTGTAGCGACAGACAGGGAAAAATGGAAAAGGATTGGGGAGGCTTATGCCCAAAGATGGACCGAAGAAGGCTAATTAGATATATAGATTACTTTACTATCTTGTTGTTGTTGTTTGTTTGTGTTTAAATGACTGCGGACACTAAATCCATTCGCCATTTACTATCTTGTACTACATCCCGTATTTATAAAAAAAAATAATAGTTGTAATAATTTCCCCTTGCCATCTGAATTGATTTTTGAGTTATAATTTTGTGCTCATTCTCCTTTTTAACTCCAAATTTATATAATTATAAATACAAACCGTTGAAATACTGGTTGCCTACACAAGTATGAAATTAATTTTTGAATCATAATATATGTCAATTATAAATACAACAAAGTAAAATAATGGTTGCCTACACTGTAGACACAACTTCAAGAAAGAAACAAACTATTTTACGAAATGAAAAATTAAACATTATTACAGATTATTTACTTACTATAGCGTTACCCCTTTAACAAGAGATTAATTTCGAGAGTAGTTACATAAACTCATCCGACAGAAGTTACTTTGAAAACAAATTAGTAGTATTTTAGAGATTATTCATAGAACGTAAACGACAAAATATTTCAGTGGAGAATTCTACGTTCAAAGTCGCGCCGCGCCGTTCAATTCAGCGACATTTGATAGGAACATTCTACTCTTTTGACATGTCTTTCTGTGTCATGGACACAGAGTGCACGATATGCATATGGTAGAGTTTTATGTTATTCAGTCGTGGCCTACTTGCCAACATTTGACATGTTCAACTTCTAACTTTTCGTTTTGTACTCTGTAATTAATTATAAATTAAAAAAGAAGAATTTTAGGTTAGACGTGGCGGAAATTTTAAAATATTGTGGTAGTAGTATACATGGCTATCAAGGTATTTGAACTATTACTACAATGCTGAGAATGTAAAATAAGAATTTTAATCTTATTTAAATAAGTATACACAGTATAGTCCATCCAATTAGATAAATATGCGTCTATATTCTTTGGTATAGTATTTAAAAACAAGCAATATTTTCTAACTTACTTTTTCCAAATTAGATATTTTATAGAAGTGTATGCATTCGTTGAAAATTAAAAAAAAATCTCCTAATTAAGCAACATTACAGAATACTTAATTATGTCATTAACCTCATTTTGTTATTAACTCGTAGAAAAAGTTAAATTTGTGTGGGGAAGTCAACTCCTACAACTTCCTTTTTATATCTGTCAAGTATCTTACCTGCTGCATACATATTTTAAATCAATCCAAAGAAGGCGAACATTCTTATCGACATTTGTATCAACAATTATATTAAAACTTGAATTAAAAGGACAAATTGACAAATAAACTGTGTTGTGTTCCTCAATGAGAAAAAAATATTCAATTGCTTTTAATAAGACTCATGTACACCAAAGCAATAAACATATTAGTTGTTTGTTGTTTGCATCTTATCTTAATTCAGTCAAACGTCAGTGAATTTAAATTACTACCATACCAAAACCAAAAGTGAAATACTAAATTTTACTTAAAATTAAAACAATGCTGCCTATTTTCCTATAGTCAAAAATGATTTCATTCATAAATTCGTTTTGCATGTTGCCACGTTGTTAACTTTTTCTTAATTTTGCCTAAGAAATAATAAGCTTGAAGTCATAACAAATTCATGTTACTTTAAATGGGATGCTCCTAATGCTACAAAACAATTTAATCATTGTAATATATATAGAATCGGAAATAAGACTTACGTTTGTTAAGTTTAACATCCATCAATCTGTAAACTGCTTCTATCAAAATAATTTTATATTGGACAGTGGCGTGCAGTGATATTTTCGGAGAGTGAGCGATTTAATAAGGCTATAAAAATATTTTCTTACGAGGTTTGATCTTACTAAGAGATAATTTTAAACCGAGCACCTGCTATTACATTATGACTCTTACATTAGGAACTAGAAAATTCTTCAGGATGGATGAATTCTAAATTATCTGTAGCTGTTATGCGGCATTTTATACAACAGTTATAAAACAAATCCAGCATTACTGATCTTGGATAATCACGAAAGCTACTTCTCCATTGAGACACTTAATTTAGCAAAAACTATTCAATGTCATAATATTCTCAATATATGCCCCAAGAGAAGATGCCGAGGAAGATAGGAAGGATGAATTTGATGAATTATTGCACCAACAGTATAAAGCTGCTCCAAAACACGACGTCAAAATAGTGATGGGAGATTGCAAAAATAAACTAGGTAATGAAGATTATTTTAGAGAAGTAATTGGTAAGCATAGCTTGTACGACACAACCAATGATAATGGACACCGGCTAACACAATTCGCAATATCTAATAACATAATCGTTAAATCCACCCAATTCGAGAGAAAGGACATTTACAAGGTCACATGAGTTTCAAATGATGGAAGAATACGAAATCGAATAGATCATGTCCTCATTGACGCAAGACACTCTAGTAGCATTACAAATTGGCGAAGTATGAGAAGAGTTAACAGCGATAGCGATCACTTTCTGTTGAAATCTAAGTTAAGAACGCGATTATCAATACAGAAACTGAAAAAAAAGAAAAAAGAGAAATATGGAACATATTTGTTCCATACTCTACGAACATCAAACAAAGAACTGGATATTAAATGGCAATAAGCAACAGACTCCAATTGCTGGGAGAGGAAACGCATAATGTAGAGTTAGAACAAGCATGGCAGCAAGTGGCATCAGTTATAGAGCAAGCAGCCAAGGAAACCGTTAGGAAAAAGAGAACTCGCCCAAAACGGAAATGGTTTGCCAAATCATACGAGGAAATTCTATATAAATAGACATTCGTTGAGAATTTTAATTTAACTCTTTTTGTTGAAGTTTATGTATATATATGTTATTTGATATTTTGAAATATTAACGAATGTTTTAAAGAATTTTAGTTGTTTTTAATTTGCCTCAAGCTGGCCCACTACTTGGGTAAGATTAAGAGAAAAAGTGTTTTTAAAAATAATTAATAAAAAAATTAGTCTGTGATCACAAAAGTCTGCTATTTTTGTTTGAATAAAAATAGATTCAATAATTGCATTTTGAATTTGAACTAAAAAATCGGTAGTAAGCAGCTTATATCATCAAAAATACACTCTCCGGCACGAAAAACAGAGTACTTGCATTTTTAAAATAAAAACATAAAACTTCAATTCTCTTTATACTTTTTTTTATTATAATAACGTAAACACATACGAAATTGATGTAATTTCTAATAAAAGTTAAGTGCTTATCCGAAAAAATGCATAATAAATCAGAAATAAAGAATACAATAAAAGTGCAAAGGTAGCTGTTGATATTCTAGTGTTATTATTTTGTTCTTGTTGATGTGAGTAAACTCTCAAGTTGAATCAAGTGTCAAACGCAATTTGAAGTTAAATTGCATTTATTTAATCTCAAGAATTATGGGTGTAAATCCCGAAAGAACGGCTGCTATTGTTGCGTTGCTTCATGGCGGAAGAAGTGGGCGATATGTTGCTCAAAAGTATTAAATATGCAACATTACTGTGCACCGTATTTTTAAACGTATTTTGGCAACCGAAGTACTCCGAAATACTAACGTAAAGGTCGATTCAGACACATCAGTCCCGTCATAGTCTCGGCGCCGAACCGGTCCTGTTTGTTCACAGAACTATCAACTATCTGACAGCTGGGAAACTGTTCCTCGCCTGATGAATGTGAATGCCGGCGTCATATTTCTATTAAAGAATATTTTGTATGACGGATTGTTCGGTTCGGCACCAGGACTGTGACGAGACGTGACTGATGTGTCTGAATCGACCTTTAGTGAACGAACAATTAGACGAAGGCTTGAAGAAGCAAATTTAAACAGTCGCAGACCTGTAACAGGCCTTCAACTTCTCAGGCGCCATCGAGTTTTGCGACTTCAGTTTGCCAGAAACCATGCTCAGTTTACTGTAAATAATTGGAGGCTCGTTTAATTTACCGATGCGTTTAGGTTTACCTTGCGGTCTCCAGATGACCGTGAGAGAGTATGGCAAAGACCACATGAGCGTTTTGCAATGTACCTTTAATTCTACGGTAGGCTATCTTCTTCTTAGGGTGCCTGTCCGTTCCGGACGTTGGCGATCATTTTGGCTATGATGATTTTGTTGGTTGCTATACGAAATAGTTGTGTTGAGGTCTTTCTATACTATGCTCTCAGGTTAGCAAGCCAGGATATTCTTCTTCGTCCTGGGGCTCTTTTTTCTTCAATTTTACCCTGCAAAATGCATTGGAGTAGCTCGTATCTGCCTTGATTTCTCATTATATGTCCTAAGTACTCCAGCTTACAGCTTTTCACAATGTTGACCAAATCCGCGGTCGTGTTCATCCTCCGCAGTACTTCTTCATTGGTGATTTTGTCTGTCCATGGTATCTTCAGGATTCTTCTGTATAACCATAATTCAAACGCCTGAAGTTTTGTTAGAGTTTCCGCCTTCAGTGTCCACGTTTCTACTCCATACAGAAGCACTGAGTATACGTAACATTTAAGGAGCCTTATTTTTGTTTTCAGGGTGAGGTCATGGCTTTTGAACACAGATCTCATAGCCAAGAATGCACTGTTGGCCTTTCCGATGCGACATTTAATCTCTTGGGTATTGTCCCACGACTCATGGATTATAGTTCCCAAGTAATTGTATTGTGAGACACGTTCAATTCTCATTTGGTTCACATACAGATTTGCTCCAGTTATGTTTTGCTTGCTGATGATCATTAGCTTGGTTTTGCTGGTGTTTATATCCAGTCCATAGGTTCTACTTGTTTCTGTTATTTTGTTCATTAAGTTATGCAGCCCTTCTATGGAAGGGCTGCAAAAGCTTAGTTCTGCAGCACTAAGACCGTGAGAGAGTATGGCGAAGACCACATGAGCGTTTTGCAATGTACCTGTAGTTCTAGGGTAGGCTATCAAGGGGGCTCAATTATGATGTGAGCTTGAATTTCTCTAAAGGCACGTACAGAATTGTACATCGTTTCGAGAGGCTCCATAACAGTTGCCAGGTACATTGATGAAATTCTCCAAGATTTTGTTATGCCTTATGCTGGTTTTGTTACGATAATGCCAAGCCTCACAGTGCGAGAATCACTTAACAGTTTTTAAATGAAGTAAACATTTCTATAATGAATTGGTCAACCTTGAGTCCAGACACAAACTTGGGACATGCTTGGGCGAAGGATACGAAATCGTGGTCCTGTCACTTTAACCTTAAATCAGTTATAAGAAGCCTGTTTATAGAAATGGGGACTTATTCGTCAACAGGACAGTTCTCATTTGATTTTAGGCATCTCAAGGGAAATTCAGGCAATAATTTGAGCACACAGTGGAGGAAACATTCATTATTAAAATTAGTTTGTCCGGACACATGATTTAAGTTTTTATTAATTGAGCGTCATTTTGTTACAACATTTACTTATGTTTTTTCCTTAATTTTGAAATTATTATCTACTGAAACTGTTCTTTGTTTAAAAGTTAAATTTTTATTAGAAATGTCTTAAAACAGTTTGTTTCGTTTGTGTTTACGTTATTATAATAATAAAATATGTCTCATGAAAAACGTGGCCCACTCTCCCCTATTTTTTTACTTGTCTCTCAATCTTAATCCGAGTATATACCTGCCCATTTTTCTTTGCGTTACTTAAGTTTTTTATATTGGTTTTTGTCAGAGAAGAGAAGAGGTGAGATCTTGCAAGCCTAAATACATTTGACTTTTGTTGTCTCAAAAAACAAAACAATCAAATACTGATAAAGGAACCCATTCAACAGAACTCTAAAACGAGCCAACCTTCAGAAATAAAACGAAAAACAAAAAGTAAAGTATAGTTAGGTCTTTTTCAAAAAGAATTCTGGCAAATGCGCTTGCTATTACAATTAGCGATCACAAAAGAATAATAAGTATGTCAAGCGTATAAGTTATCTGGAGGAACATGTGTGAAGGAAGTGACTCACGCCGTGGTCACAATCTTAGCAGATATGGATTGGAAGGAGTTGAACGTTGTTTCTCACTCCTTTATTTTCAGTTTCAGTGTAAACGCTTTGTGAGAGGTACACGCACGCGACGTGATATGTTATTGGTTTGTTTTTGTTAGCCGAGCGCAGGATTCGTCTGTTTTGTGTGACTTTCACTGCGTTTCCCTTTTAGGACCGATTGCGACTGTTGTGTGTTTTACAGGTGGATATTCTTGAAGGATTTTGGCGGGTACTTTTTTTTGTAGGTAAGTTAGTTTTTTCATAAATTTTTTTTACCCGATTAGAAAATTACTGTACGTGAAGGTTATTTTTTTATTGCTTAGGAACGATATTATTTTGCAATGTTTGTGACTTTATACTCTAATCCTGCTGATCTCACCTTGATAAGCAGATAATAATTAGTCCAAGGGGAATATGTCAAAAAGCAGATGTAATAGATAATTTATTCTCCATAGGACTCAATTTTTTTGCGAGAACCACTTCAGGATGTTTCTTGTTTTAATAATCACGATATGCGCTAGAGTCACAAACCTTGTTTTTAATTTTTTATTGACCAAAATCTGAAAAAAATCGAAATTTTTTTCTTTTTGCGCCCATATTTTCGCCTGTAGCACGAGAGATATTGCTCCTATAAAAAAATTATACAAGGTAAAAGTTTCGTATATAATATAAGAGAGAAAATTTTATCAGCAATATTTGCGACTGGTATGAAAGTTTGTTGCCTGGAAATTTTCGTGAATTAAATTTTGACATTTAAATCAGGAGATATTACTCGAGTGACTTTGTCAAAATTCCATAAGCGAAAATTGCCAAAAGGCAACAAACTTGTATAAAACCAGAAGAAAATCTTGCCGGTAAATAATTTTCTCTTGAATGATATTCGACAAGATAATTTCACAAGACAATTACTGCACCAAATCAACGAAACATAATCTTTATTTATTTGTTAACAATATTAAATGTCCAATTATTATAAGCTATAGTAGTTTGCCCGTTAATTTAATTAACTCCTGTTTAGAAACGCCTTGCTTGACTAAGTCTGACACAGTTGAAGATCGATGAAAATGGTTTGTTATTTTATGATTTTTTTTTTTATGTTTATTCCAATTTTTCAAATGACATTTTTGTCCACTTAGATACGGTGTTGATTCCAAGTGGACAGTTTTTGAACCAAGATCCATCCCTCTAGTTGGGGTGAACGATAAGAATGAGTCTCTCTGATAAAATCTTTGGTCCTCTTTTTTTCATCAATTTCAAAAATAATCTAACTGGGCATAAATTTGCGTTTGATTAAATTCTTACCAGCCATTGGCAGCTTACCAAACTTTTCTAACCGCCTTGATTTGTTTTTGAAAAAAATGCTGTTATATTCAATTCGGCCCATAAATCTCCCATAACATCAAATTCCTTCTTGAAAAGTGAATCTTGCTGTTAATGGCCTCATTGCCTCTCCAAGCAAGTTCAAATGAGCAAAGGTGAAAAAACCTTTTTGTGTTCCATCGGGAGTTTCCTCGTCTTAGCTTTGGATGATTTTAAATAGTTTTTTGGTGGATAATGCTTTTGAACTGAGTTTTCTCTGGCCAATCTTGCACAGTTGAAAGATATATCTGTGAAAGGGTCGATTTTTATGCCGTACTATGTAAAATATATTTCTTGTACTATTTTTTCTGTAGTATTCCACATTGGCTTTATAGACGACTGCTTTATAGTCTTAGCCATTGCCTTTTTTCAGGTTAAAGGCATAATCCTCGAGAATTTTTGCTAGTTTCGTTATGGTAGTACATCTTTTAAGCGTAAAATTTCTCACCCGTAGGACCTCAGAAAATTGGGTTCAAATAAAGCTTCTGGACCTCTTCATGTTCAATGGGACATTTTCCGAAACCAATTTTTTTATTTCTTTATCTGACTGGCATCTAAATCTTGATTTTTTGTTTGGATTCATTATATCTGTCCAAAATTCATTACGCCTCAATGACGTTTGTCAAACTGACAACAATAGAATTACCAGACACCTTCGTGACGGATCTGTCATAATTTTGTCGATGAGGGAACGTGGCGTTGCGTTGTGATGTTTTATCAGTTAAAAATATCTAGTGAAATAATCGGTTTTCAATTTTACATAATATTTAACTAGCTAGAAAACTAGCAATAATTGGGGATCCCTTAAACATAGAAGAACATTGAAGAGTGCACTAAATTTCGTTAGGATCGGTTTAATAGTTTTTGTATAATACTTTTGCAATCAATCCAAGGTCGGCAAAAAATGATCTTCCTACTGATCATCTTTCTATTGCATTGGAGAAGCATATCTTGCGGTCTTTACTCTATTTTTCATCTGGGGGGGGGGGGTTGGTTGAGCACCGAATTTTTTTTATGATGCTACCTCCATTTTGAGTCCTTAAAATTTGTGAGTAACAGAACAGTGTCAGAATGGGGTTCTTGCGCCACTGCTGGTGCTTGATATTCTCCACCTTGCATCGTGGTGTATCTGTACTTCTAGCTCTGTCCCAAAGTGTCTTTGCATCAATTTTTCTAAGCGTTTTCATCTCTGCTCTTTCTAACATCCTCTTTGTCCTCTTTGTGTCAGATCGTGTTTCTGCCGCGTATGCCGTTATTGGTCTGATGACTGTTTTGTAAATTCTGTCTTTCATTTTTTCCCGATATTTTATTTCTCTATATTGTTTCATTCAGGCAATAACCCCCTCTGTGGCTCAGTGGTAAGAGCGCCTGCCTTTAAACCTAAAGGTCGTGAGTTCGAATCCCACCTGGGTGGAAATTTTCGTTTATTAAAAAAATTAATAAATGAAAATAATTTCTATCCTTGTGTGATCGGTACACACCGGAGGGACCGCAGACGTTCGGATACAATTAGCGTCTCTTAGCAAAGATAATGACGTCGACTTTGCTAAGTATCAAGACAATTACTCTACACACACTCACACACACTACACCTCAAATTGTAAGATTGGCGAATGGATTTAGTGTCCGCAGTCATTTAAACACAAACAAACAACAAAAACATTCAGGCAATCTGCGGTTCTGTTTGCTCTATTCACTTGATCTTCCACTTCAGTTTTGAGCTTTCCGTAGCTAGATTATGTGATGCCTAGATATTTAAACCCTATCACTTTTTCTATAATCTCACCTTCCAGTTCCAATTTACGTCTAAGTCAATTTGCTGTTATAACCATGCATTTTGTCTTTTTCGTGCAAATTAACCTGTTAATTTTCTGGCGGTTATATGAAATTGGTGCACCATACCATCAATTATCTTCACTTTGGGAGAATAGTATTGCGTCGTCGGCATAGCAGATTATTTTAGGTTGTTTTTCTTCGATTTGGTATCTTTTTTTAGTTCTTATTTCTTATTATTTCATCCATCAACAGGTTGAACAATAGACAACTTTGGGAATCTCCCTGCCTTATCCCATTGCCAGCATCAATATGGTCGGTTAGTTCTTCTACTTTTACTTTTATTGTGTTGTTTTGGTAACTATTTTCGATCGTTTTGAGTATTCCTAGAGGTATCTCTCATTTTTTTTTTGTCTCGTGTAACTAAATATGTTATGGCCAAATGGCCAACAACAAAGATTACATTAGAATTTAAACCCTACTTTCTTAGACGAAGTGGAATATTGAAGATGGCGTTTTATTGTAGTGATAAAGAGTAATTGTTTCTAGTAAACTACGGAATAAATTACTGAATGAATTGCATTCAACTCATTTTGGTATAGTTAAGATGTAATTATTAGCTAGGTCTTATATTCGCTAGCCATCACTGAATAGAAAATTGAAGATCTCAGCAAGAATTTCTTGTCAGAACATGCAGGCAAATACTCCCATGTTTATAAATCACACCATATTTTGCATCAGAAATAATAGCAATGGTTGTAAGATGTAATTGCTGTATACGATTAGTGATCCTTTTTTAGGGATAAGGGAAAATATTTCAGGCCATTTATTTATACCAATCTCACCTTTTAGAGTATCCGCTTGTATTCCATCTATCCCTGGAGTTTTTTGTTTCTTAGTTGGTTGAGAATCTTCTCTACTTTTGCTTGTAAACTGATTATTTCTGCCTCTTTAGTTGCATGTTTCTTATGTTCTGAGACTGCATCTTTTTAAAGTGTCTTGGCGTTGATGACTTGACGTTGTGGCTTTACAACAGACAAATAAAGACGTAGGTAAGATAAGAAATGCCTAAACACTGGAATAGAATAGACGATGAAGATGATATCATTTCTACAAACAACGTGCGCTAGTCATATCCAGGGTAAATTTGTGTTTTTCTAAATTTCTTTGAATTTAGTATCAGGAAAGTTCGTGAATTATCTTTATTAGATAAAATTCACAAAGTAGGTATGATGTCAGACATTTCCTTATCTTTTATTATTAAAAACTTAATTAAAACATAAAAATGTCACGTTGATACTTAAACTTTATCAATTTTGAACGATAGATATGAATGACATTAAAGTATAAACAATTTAGAATAAGTAAACATTGGTACGTTTTACACAAAAAAAAAAAATAAAAAATGAAAGACTAAAAAGAACGTACTATTAAGTGTACAATTGCAAGTAGATAATGTGGCGATTTATATTTTCAGAACTTCCTGCTGCCTTTTTTGTTAGAAGACTTTTTACCAACTCTTCTCTTTAAATTCTGTAATTTTCATTTTTTTGTTGGTTGTCACTGAATTATACAGATACATTGCGTTTACTACAACTGTATTTGGAATAATCTTGAATGCAACTTTTCGATGCCATTTTACAGATATTGTTAAAGCTCGATTGTAGGGTGCCGTCTGGTCAGATAAATCAATAACAGATTTGACGATATTATATTCTATAATGGCACATGTAGATATTCTATAATGGCTCATATAGATTCTTCTAATAACATGCCACAGATTTGTTAAGTTTACTGGAGGACGTGGCAATTAATTTAGGTTTCGATCTACTATATTCCACACATGTACGCTGAGTGCCAAATCAGCTGATCTTAATAGTCACTTTAAAGTCTTTATATCAGACTCTTGTATGAACTCCATGATTTTATGGACAGTATGACTTCTTGCGATATCCTATTGAATGATCGCATTTGGAATGGTTTGTAGGCAGGGATGTAAGACCCTTTGTAGTACTTCACCAATATATCATCAAGCTGTTAGAGTGCCATTAATAAGAACTAGAGGTGATCTGCTTTCCAAACATATAGCATTCATACCATAATAATTGGTTGT